TATATCATTTATATTTGTTAATAAATATTATAAACTAATTAATTTTAATTAAATTTAAATTCAATAATGTAATAAAATTATAACTAATTTATCATTAATACTTGGATTTCTTATAAAGAGTTTTATAATTTTAGAAAACTCTATATTTCATTTAATGATTATTGTTTATATCATTGAAACTTGTTATACTGATGATGCTAAAATCTCCATTATATAAAAATAAATTAATGTTAATATATACATTAATTTGGATACAATCTTAGTAAATATCATTTATTAGTATAATTGTAATTTTATATTTCTCAATAGAAACTATTAAGCATTACTCTTAATGATTGAAATAAAATAAGGCTCTATTATTGATTAAAGCTAATTAATTTTAGGTTGATAGTTAAGTAAATTAATTTAAATAATTCTTAAATCCCTCTAAAGTATTTTGAATAAAAATGGAATATAATTTCATTATTTGCTATTTTAAGCCACATTAGAAAGTACAACATATATGAAAGATCCAAGTTTAGAATAAGATATTTTGAATATCCAATTGATAAATAGATTTAGAAATAATAGGAGAATCTTATTTTATGTAAATGCATCCTCAATCTTCCTTAGCACTAATATTATTAATAATCAATTAAGAGAATGATAACTCAAGAGTTTGTGCTTTAGTTCCATCTAAATAGAAAGATCCACATATCCTAAATATTTAGAAAATAAAGTAGAAATATTTTTGAACTAAAACTGGGAAATTAAAATTATACTATTTCTTTAAGCTTCAATATATAATGCTCTTCCTTAAAAACCTATTGATTACTCAATATTACAAAACATTATTTCCAAATTCTCCACTTAAAATAAACCAACTTCTGCATTAGGTTTTACTTCAAAAATACTCTTTATCTATTAATAAGATAAATATTCACTTTCTAAAAACCACCATAATAATAAGGGTTGGATATTTTGATAATTAAATTAACAATTTTAATAAAAAGAACTGATTAATATTGCTGATTATTGATTTTTAATGAATACGATATTATTTTTGCTATTGTAAAGGGAATTTAAAAAAATGGGAGTTGGTTATATTAACGAAGCCGAAAATACAATTGGAGTTAAATAGTTGTGAGGATATTTAAAGATTGTTTAAACGCATACATGTAAAATATTATTTATAAATGTAACATTTTAAAACTTCAAAAGTCGTCTATTAAATTGACTCCACAAAAATGATTTCGGTTTAATATTTTTAATTTGTTAGAAATAATAAATTCGATCCCACAGTAAAATTAATTAAACGATTTTTTTCTATTTAATATTTTGTTATAATATCAGATGATTTATAGCATATAACTAGAGAATTCTCAGATTAAACATTCTTGTTTGCATATCAAACATCTCAAAATCAATCACAGAAGTTATAAAGAGCGATTATAAATAGTACTCAACTTAGACTTGTTATAATTGGCAATCAAGATATTAATGAAGCAAGGAAAATATGTTCATCACTTTTAGTAATTATACTAGATTCTATCCTTAATACTTTTGAATTTTATATGATAATTTCCTTCAATCCATACCTAGAATTAACAATTCTATAACGAAGATATTTAAATGAGCTATTATTAATGGTTAAATCACTTAAATTATTATGATTATTAAGAATGATAAGACTTGAGTTGTTGATTTCAGACTTTTAAAATGAAATTCAAATTACTCTTATATGACCTAAATAAAGCCAGCTAAGGAAGGTTAAATAATTAGTAAATCTACATTGAAATATATATTTTTAACTTAGATTCCCATTTTTCATAGACATTCCAATTTATATAAAATTTGCATTATTAAATTATGCGTTTACATATAAATCGTAAAGTTATAGAGTAATCTAATTGTTTAGAATACTTTTATTGAATATTTGTTTTTCATAATTTTTCGAATGGGCATTTAAGGCTGTTATGAAATCTTCTTAAGAACAAAATAAATAAATTCGAGTTATTAGTTATTTTTCACAATTATTAAGGTTAATGCAATTCATTAAGCTTCCTAATTCTTAATAATAATATAGTCTTAATCATCAAAACCTTTTAAACATTGGTATGAAGCTCTTTTTTTTTATAATCCTTAAATAAAGGATTAATTAATTATTATTTCTTCTTATGACCCAATTCTACTTAATGCCCAATTATTATAACATTTGATATAGATAAATGAAAATTTAATCAAACCTTAAATTAATTTTATGATAAACCTTGTCTTCTTTCTTAATATTGGAAATAACATATAAAATTAATTACAACCATTTAAATATTCGCATTCTAAACATGAATCAGTAATTCATATCCTTTTGTACAAGAAGTGCATATAATTTAATAATCATCTTTGTCTTCACTTTAGGCTTTATTGCCTAGAAGATTGATATTTTTATTTACATTTATTTAGTTTTTTTTTAAATTATTTATGATTTTAGTAAAATAAATTTAAGAATTCATTAAGTTCAATCATTAAAGGAACTTTTAGGATTTATGTAATTTTTAACAAACTTCTTTACGAGAGAAAAGGAAAAAATTAATTAATACAAAGCAGGGTTATCATGATTTATAATACAGAATTAATAGATGCTAAAAATATTGAAATATAAAAAACCATATTATATAATAAATGTATCAAATTTTTCAATTTTGTTTGGTTTATTACCTGTAGCTAAATATTAATAAAATAACAAATAGATTTAAGACAAGAAAATAATTTAAATTTTATTAGCTTGAAATTTTTAATTATCAAAAATTCATCTTCAGTTTTAAAAAATAACAATTATAATATTTTACACATTATTTAATACTTTGCTGTGTTGTAATAAATATTTTATATGACTGATTTTTAACTTTACAAGAGGCTGTTTTGCTTTGAATAAAAAGGGCAGGAACATGGTACTATAAATATTGAGGTTGAAATGTGGGATTAGATCAAAACCTAAATTACGAAGATGAAAATTTAAATCATTAAAACTCAAGATAATGAAATCATTTATTTAAATGATGGAATAATTTTGAGAGTGTGAGAATATTTTATATTTTAATAATAGCTAATCACTACAAGATGTTATAAATAATCCATAAAACTTTACTAATCTGGAGTAGATCTAAAACCTTCAATGGAAAAAAGAAAATGAAATAAACAT